TGTGTGTGTGTGTGTGTGTGTGTGTGTGTGTGTGTGTGTGTGTGTGTCTGTCTGTCTGTCTCTCCATGCGGACTCTTACGGTCGGCGTACGTGGGCGTCCCGACGACCCCGAGTCCGAAGCCCGAAGTCGAACGTCGAGAATATACCTTGACGAAGCACGATCTCGTTATGTTGCAGGCACACATGAAGTTCCCGCCGGATTACCCATACAGTCCACCGAGCATTCGTTTCATGACAAAAGTTTGGCACCCGAATGTATATGAGGTGAGTGAATATATACGGGAATTATCGATCCCCCGCACACTCTCTCTCCCCCCGTTTCGACCCTTTCCTCTCGCACGTGTGTGTACGTGTGTGTGTGTGTTTGTGTTACGTGCGTGTCCTCCCCGTCTCCCTTGCGTCCCTTTTCCGTTCATCCGTCCCGCTCTCACCCCGCTCTCTCGCCCTGCCTCGTCTGTATAACGACCGTCCCGCTCGTCCGCGTCCGCCTCTCTTTATCTTCCACCCTCCGCCGCCATAGCTTTTACAACCATCAGCTTTTACATCGTCACTTTCAGCGTTTGTGAAACCACCCGGGCCGTCGGCGTCGCGTCGTTTCCATCGAGACGCAACGGAGGACTGGAGGCAGAAGGGGGAGGGGAGAGGGGAGAAAAAAGAAAGTGAAAACAGCCGACTCGAAAAATTGCACGTTGCGTATAGTAGTTTCTCGCCCGAGGTTGCATTTATATTGACGTATCACCGCGCGCCGCCACGTTCTTGGAACGTCCGGCCGTACTTACTATATTTATCGCGGGACACGCGTCGCGTCACGTTCGACTTTTGTAAAAACGTCCTCCGCCGCGATTTCCGTTTTTCCTTCGCCACGTCCGTCGACGTGCGAATTTCGCGCACGACGATTAGCGCGCGGGGAAACGAGGCAACGAGCCGCCGACGTCGGCACGCCGCTGATAATCCGCGACATTTTTACGAGGGCTGATCGTCGGCGTTGTCCGCCACTTTAAAAGGTCGAAAGCGCGACGGTCGGTTTCCTGTCCGCTACGCCCAAGTACTACATCGTGACATTTAAGCTTCGCTCTCCGTTCCTTCGTTAAGGCCGGTTTTCACACGCAATGATTGGTGGCGCCAGGCCGCGCCAGTCGACTAATGCCAGTAAAAATGCAAGTGTAAACACTTGATGCAAACTGGCGCTAGTAATGTGGCGTTTACTGGCGGTTATTGGCCAAAGCATATAACCTCAAAATTTGAGGTTATATGGTTGTTGTCATTTACTGTGTGTTTAATAAATGTTAAATATTTTCCATAGTATACGCCAATCACTGTGTAAATACTTGTAAGTTTGCTAGTCGGTTCTGGCGCCAATGAATGCCAGTCAGTTGGCGCCACTAATCATTGCGTGTGAAAACCGGCCTTTATAGTCTCGTCTAATGTCATCCACGCCGAATAAAACGTCGATCGAAATAAGATACGTTAAAATATCTTCTCCAAGTTTATCTACCTTCTTCTTATACGGTAGTACACCCAGCTGACTTGCCCCCACGTGGTCAATAAGCGCGAATATAAAATATTGAGATTAGCAGAATATTTTGTGGATCGTATCATTCGGAGTGTATCGTTTCCATCGTTAAGATGGAAAATAGGGGGGGAATGCATTTCCGCGTTCTTCTTTGGTATTGCCGGTAATACCATTTGCGTTTGCATAAAAGTATCGCATTCCCACACGCTTATATCGACCTCGGCCGGCGCGGCGCGGCGCATCTCTTGCTCGCTGTTCGTCGTATATGACCCCTTCGGCGGCTAGCGAAGCGAAGTCAATGACCGTCGAAAGCCCGTGTGGACATCCGTGTCCACTCGCCCGTCGTCGATAGGGATGGTAACGACGGGAACGTGTTATGAGTAACGAGACAAACACGAAGACTCTTTTTTTTTTTTAAAGGTCTGGGCTGTCGAAGAGAGGATATTAAAGTTCGTGAATTGTAGCTGTTATTCTCGCAGAGAGCGCTCGGTTACAAACGGCACATGCTTGTAGTACAATGTAACATTAAATAGTGAAATAACATATTGACGTGTCGCGTCGGGAACGCGAATACGAATATAAAATCGAATGTTTTAAATATTCAAATCGAAGATTTTAAATCGTCGTTTGCTTCCTATCTCGGTTCAAGTGTCCGAAACAGTTGACTTTGCTAATCGATTGATAAACCGAAGCAGCTTATCCTTATGTAACTGTAATTTTGTATTATTTTGCAGACAGACACGTAGGCACGTTTTAATTCTCGTTTTTATCGTACGTCTAACCCTGAACTGTGCGTGTTGTTTGTACTCCGGCGCATTTAGATTCGAAATACGTAGTGAAATCTTTTTACATTGTACGTCGTATCCATTCTTTACATTACGCGTGATCGTAGCGAAGCTACTAATTGCGAAGTGAAAACGGCGATCTCTAACGGCCAACGAGGCAGAAACCGTAAAGGAGTAAACTCTCGGATGTATATTAAGGGAAATTAATCACACGCGGAAAAGTCGACTTTTTATCTCGCTTTTTCTTTCGCGTCGCGTGAAATTTTATTTCGATGATAATCTCGCGCGCGTTGCGCAAATCCTCGGAGGAAACGGCAACTTACTCCAATATGTAGAGGTCTTTCGCAATCGAAGCGGACCGTGCGTCGTGGAAGGTTCACTCGATATACACCGCATGGCTTAACACGTGCACGGTTTTCGCTCTTCTCGCAGGCCAACTTTCCCCGTCGTGAAATTCATATTATTTATACACCTGTGTATCCTGCACGTTACGCGAATCCTTCCCCGTCGTCTTCTTCGTCGGCGTGTAAATAATAGGAATAAAAAGACAACGGCGTTATTTAATTTAGCTTCGCGCATACGGAATGTATGCAGAGTAACAATAAGTAAATGAAATACGACCGTAGATGATGTACAATCAAATTAAAAGAGAAGTTAAACGGTCAGAACTGGATCTTGGTTGCCTAAATAATACACGGAAAGAACGGTTTTGCTGAAGTATCTAAAAATTTAGCTAGATGTAGATCTGAAAATAATTTTGTTGCACCATCAAAATAATTATGTAGAACACTCAAACTAATTGCCAAAATGTCGAAATTTTTTACAGCATCATCATCATCATACTTCAGCGACCTGTTATAATTATTTTGATGATGCAACAAAATTATCTTCAGATCTGCATCTAGCTAAATTTTTAGATACTTCAGCAAAACCGTTCTTTCCGTGTATTTGCGTCAATTTCACGTGTAATTCTTCGCCTTGGCAAATCACGCGCCGTTATTTTCAACCTTAAAACGCAGTCTCAATCAAAGCTGGAACAGCACAGTCACATAATTAAATTAATAATCATTTTAATCACACTAACATAATCGTTAGCATATTAGAAAAGTTCGGGATATATACAGAACAGGATACGTGTGTATAGAAAATGTTGCAGAGTAATTTTACATACATTAAACCACCAAGTGTCGCGGGCGCGGGTTTCTTAAGCATCAGTCTAGAAATTTCATTTTTCTTTCCACGCTTCTTCCCACATCTTCCTTGCATGTGGATCTCCATATACAGATCTCAAGTCACCTCTGCCTCGGTTGCACTTGGCGCGATTCTATGCGTCGGCATGGCAGTTGGTACTCGACTCGTACAGCCGCTTGTACAAATGCATGCACGAACACAGCCGATGTCTATCGCTGTCGGAGGCGGTCGTGTCAAGTGCCGGGCGTTTACTCGAGGAGCTCGCCTTCGCCTTCGCTGCTTATTACGAGGTGTTCGGAGTCGAGCCTCGAGCCACGGTGAAACCACGATGCGCCTTGTCCTACTTGCCGAACATCTTCGCTCGGGAGAGACGAGAGATAGAAGCGCGGTTCTCTTGTGAAGAAACTTGCGCCGGCAAGTGTTCTCTTCTCGCGATTTTCATGATGCTTGTCACGCGATTACCGAACGGCCCAAGATCTACGTCTTTATTTATGCCGTATATAAGATATGCAGCCATTCTCGCGTATCGATGATTTTGCGCGCAAGGTCGATAACGTGTAATCTTGGTCTCAGAAAAATCGTCTCTCGCCTCTCCGAATATGGTGTAGAGTCGCGTAGGGGCCCTGGTGAGACTTCTCTTTACTCAACTTTACTGTAAAGGTATAATACTTGGAGGTCTCGTCCTTCGAGCGACGACGTCTTCTCAGGGACAACAAACGCGGAAACCTGCAGAAGCACCGAGGCCGCCATGCGTTGGCGAAAGGAAAACAGAATCATCAACGCCGCGCGTACAAGCTTATGACTCTCTTTCTCTTTTCTTAAATAACAGTAAATATATTTAGAAATCGCGGAAATGTACATATAAGTATCTTTTTAAGCTGACGCGAGCATCTCTGTGCCAATTTTAGTTTCTTAATGATAAATTAATTAGCACATATGTAAAATTGACTCTGTATGCGAGTATAAATACAAAGACACAATTTATTGGGGGGTGAACTTCCGGAAGTAACATACGTGAATTTCAAAGCAAAGAGGAAATGCAATAAATATTAGGAGAATCGGTATAGGTCTAAAAAAGGCTACTTCTTTCTCTGTGTAGAACGGTGATCTGTGCATATCAATCCTGCATCCACCCGTAGACGATCCACAGAGCGGCGAGTTGCCCTGTGAGAGGTGGAATCCGACGCAAAATGTCAGGTGGGTGCGGTGTCGCCAAAAGAAAAAATGGGAAAAAGAATGAAAAATTGCGATCGTCCGCAAGCTAACAATAATTCTCAAAATTTGAAACTGAGAAAACCGATCGATCTCTTCAGGCTTTGAAACTGAAACTGAGAAACGATCGATCCTTCAGGCAAAATTGAACAGCTCTATGCTGGAATTTTGGAAAACACGGATTGAAATGTTAGAATTAATTATTAATCTATTGTGTTTCTCGCGTCTCAGGACTATCCTGCTATCGGTGATCTCGTTGTTGAACGAGCCCAACACGTATAGTCCAGCCAATGTTGACGCATCCGTGATGTATAGACGCTGGCGCGATTCCAAAGGAAGAGACAAAGAATATGAAAATATCATAAGGTAAGATGTCGTCAGTAATGCCGCGCGGCATTGCGTGACATCACGCGGCTGCAGGGGCCTTTGCGCGTTTTCATTGGAATTACACTGCTACCGGATCCATAGCGTGCTAAAAACTGTGCCGACTGTGTAAAATAGATAACTGCGGGAACGAGAATGTCGGTAACGTAAATGTATATGTTTTAACGCTGGAGCAGCCATATAAATCTATCTAGAAAAACCATTGTCCTAATTATAATCGAAAATGAGAAATACGAACTGGTTTTTTTAAAAAGTTATAGTAAATTACCTGTTATTAAGAGAATATTATTTAGGCCCAGTTTCACAAGTATCGGTTAACTTTTAAGCTTAGATTAACTCACTCTTCGTCTCTTTCTAAGGGGGACGTTAGAAGGAGATGAAGAGTGAGTTAATCTAAGATTAAAAGTTAACCGACACTTGTGAAACTGAGCCTTAAAAAGAACAATTTTTGCGTTGTAAATGATAAAATCGAGTAGTTGTTTCCTGGAATTTGTCCATCAATGAAGTGATTACTAAAATTATTTTATACTCTATCTTTACGTAAAATATAAGCAGAGAGTTCTTATACACATACACACATAGCATATTTCTGAAAAATCTTGGAAATTTTTCTCAAGATTTTTTATTGAAATCGTATCTTCGAGGATTTTCCTTATGCTGGAAATCGGCCACAAAAAATATTTTCAAGGAAGATTTAAATAGATATATATATATTTTAAAAAAGTTTCATCTTTCTTCCTTTGATAAACAGAATATTGGCCGCAACCAGCGAGGGTGGGTATTTTGTCAAATATTTATTTCGTACATGTTTTCTATCTAGGAAACAAGCTCAAGCTGCCAAGATGGAAGCCGAAAAGGAAGGTATTGTCGTGCCTGTAACTCTGGAGGATTATTGCATAAAGACTCGAGCGAGGCCGGCCGAACAGCAACTAGATATGACGGACTTCTACGATGACGCGTACGAGCTGGATGACGACGAGGATGAGCAGTTGAGCGCGACCGATTACGAAGACGGCGACGATAGTGGCAATGGGGAATCGTGATCCATTTCTTAAACGATAATAATAAAAACCCGCGAATCGCTAATTATTATATATCAGTTCTGTATAGATTAATAAATTAACGAGCTTTTAAACCGGACGATCTCTCTATTTTTCTTGCCGCTACCGAAATTCAAATAATTACTTTTTTTTGGTTGAAAAGAGAACCAAATAAAATAAAGAGCACCAAGAAAAATTTAGAATTACGTAACGTCTCTCTTAAGCCATCGTTAATCATCGTTATCATTTATGTTTTTTAAACGGGTTATTTATAGCCTGTTATAATTATGACTTCCTGTTTCTTAAAAAGAAAAAAAATAATTTTCATGATTTCAAGGTTCTCTTGTGAAGTAATAAGTCTGCTAACGGTGGTTTATATATATATATATGAAGGATAATATTCTTTAACTCTTGCACCGCCGCGGAGATATTTGTTAAACAGCAAAAATTGGATCATGTAATGAATTATTTTATTTATTATGACGCGCGCTCGGAAAATCTAATTATTCACATCATGTATATGCAGAATGTATTAAATATACATGTTAAACTGTACATGTTATATGTACTACTCAAACGTACGGTAGATGTATTATACAAATATGTAATACAATACTCTATTCAAAAATTCATCATAAAAATATTACGTAAAAAATTGATACAAGCTATAATGGATTGAAGAATGATCCAGTTTTGGCTGAGCGAGAGTTAATAGAAAGATTGAAATGTTAATAGTCGTGTGAAATTATGGAGAATCCCGTGTTTACAAGCTCTTTAACTTAAGCAATATGCTACGGCGCGCGTGCGCGCGACATGGATATAAGTACTATGGATAGGAGCACTTTGCTTGTTGTGTTGTGGCTGGCACTTTGATCTTTTAAATAGGAACGGACCAATTGATTTACCTTGCGATGACAAACGTTCGATAAAAAATGATCATAATGTAAGTACTGTAAGTACGCGATCGATTTTTTTTACATTTGGGATCTAGTTTTCACGCCTTGTTCAAAGTTGTAAATGGGTACATCAATTGATCCTAAGTATAATATATCTATATATAAAATTTGCGTTGTTTTGGATAATTATTTATGTTACGATAACACAAAAGATAAAAAAAAATTTGTCAGGGGAAGAATTCAATCTAGTGTAAGAGAAAATAAGCTGCCGAAGACCTGTTAAAAATTATCAGTAATGAATTTCGCATCTCTCACACACTAGGATCCATGTTATATATTGAATATCATTAATTATATTTATATATGTATGTGCATCCATATATCGATGTAATCATACCGGTATTTTCGCCGTATTATTTTACTGAATTACAAAATGAAATTAACAACAATATCATGTTTTTATTTTCTCGCGAGTCTGAACGACAGACTCAATCATGGCTTTTAGGAACAAATAACTTTTTTACTACATCTTAATTTTGATTATGAATGAACGATATTAAATGTCTCGAGAGAAGAACTTATGATGAAACTTATACGCGCATGATGCTACAGCCATGTTACTTTAGCTTATAATTTTCTGAAAGATCTCTTCGCTATCATCTTTCACAAGAGGAAATGAAGCTTTCCAGATAAAATTGGTTAAATGTAAGCTTACTACTTAAGTGAAAGGTATATCGCGGATACAAAACTAATCGATTCTGATAGCGTATCTGTGCTTGTATGACTGAAATTGTAAATAGTACGTGAAACTCAATTTTAAAGACACGAAATATATAAGTGGTACTCTTTTTACTTATTTCTTTATTAGCCACTTCATTGAAAGAACAATATCGGATGTTGAAAGTGTTTAAATGATAAAATAAAAGCAGGAGGACATTTTTAAAATCCCGATAGCTAAGCATATACTCTGCGCTTCTAGTAGTGTCGTAGCTAAAGTGAATATTCCCTAGTTCCTTCGACGTATTGTAAAATCTTTTCTCATTTCATGTTTTTCTTATATAGCTACTTAATAATAGAAAACATACAAAGTACTGAAAAAAACAAACAATAATTTATATATTACATAATTCTTTCCTCCTCTTTTTGTACATACCAATAAAAAAATTTTTCCTTCGTACAGTTATTAAAATTAGCGTAATACTACCACACACATGCTTTGTCGATAATTTAGTGAATATGGGTAATGTGTCAGGTAATATTAATCATTTACTATTAATTACCTTTTTCACATGATGATAGGCTAATGTGAGGAAATATGTGTAAATACATTTTATTATGGCAAAATATTGGGCTTTTTGTGTATCTTCTTAATTACCGATACCGCACATCGGCAAATAATAACGCGATAATATATATAAAAATATGTTTATTCTTCACACAGTTTTACATGCACAGCGATTGCACAGGATAATGAGATTATAAACATAATGTTTTCATATCATCTTTTATGAATTCAAAAAAGAAATTGTAATTGATTAATAACTAACCGACCATTGTATGCAAATTGTAGAGGCAGTTATAAGCAAACGTTTTTATCATGATGATACAGATCATCGTTTTTCCGCGCATACAGGACAGAAGGCACATTAAAATTGTAAAAAAAAACTTCGTTCCCTCGAGCACAAAAAATATAATTTTTTAAATAAATTTGGAACGATGAAGTATGCGCCATAATGAACGCGAGTCGCAATAAACGCGTATATCGGTTAGTCGTAAACCCTGTGCATCTGATATGCAGTTTTAGAAAATGTTAATAAATACGAGAAAATATGCAACAAAGAAACAAAACTGAAAATGCCGTAATATTGTCGACGATATGTTGGTGGGACATTCATAAGCTTTATCTTACGGCTAGTATTATGCCTACTTTTAAAATTACTTAATAGCTTATCCCGAACGATATTAAATTGAGATTATTGTCATGTGATTATATGGACGGCTGTTTAATAACGGTAATGTTGATTAGCCCAGCACTGCGAGCAATAATATTGGTTTTCTGGCGACCCAAAGAATTGGCAATGTTCACCGCGGCACTCTCTCACGGTGTCCTATGTAAATGGCAATTTTAATTAACAGAGTTCATATATTTCTTTCGTAAGTTACTTGACATACCTTTAAATCACTGTTGTTCCAAACTTCTGGCCCCATATTATTTGATGGAGTTTGATCATTATAAAATGTAGACCTGCGAAAAGAATATTAATTTACTCTTCACGTGATCACAGCGAAGAGAATTTACATTTTACAATTATTACCTCGAAAGATAAAGCGTATGATCTTTGTTTGTGTTAGTGGGTAATAGTTTGCTAACGCTCGCATGACTACCGCGATCACTGGCAGCGTAAAATTTGGACCTTCCGGCACCGTAATTCAGTTCACTACCCGTGTCATCCACCTGATGATCTTGTAGGTATCTGTAACATGCAAGAAATCTATAGAACTGTCCTCAGATCTATCGAACAAACGAAGTCGAACAAGTACCTTGCATGGGCACATTGAAGATAATTTTGCAGCATTTGATCCACATACTGATGACGTCTACTCTTTATCCTCACGCACAACAAACCTTCTGTGGAAATTCCACCGTTCGTGGAAGGTGGACTCTTTGGCCTTTTATTCGTCATAGATAATAGTTTTTTACTGACAGATTTACCGATAGAACCGAATTGTTTCGCGACCTCTAACAATTGCTTCGCAGTCTTTGACAAAGGACCATCCGTGTCGGAAAGCCTATCAATATCTTCGGATGTGAAACTTTGATACTCACAGTCTAAATACTGTCGCAGTAAAATTTCCATCTACATGCAAAAAGTAATAAAAATAATTTCGTTGTCTTATCAATAATTTAATGCTTATTAGTGTGCTAATAAATACACGCAACAAGATTTACTTACGGTATCCTGCGTACAAGTTAACAATTCTCGTGAACCATCAATCCAATCCCAATCAGGACCAGGATCGACGGCAAATAAGACTGACAACAATTTGCCCGTGTCTGGATCCACTAATGGTATGCTAACTCCTTCGCCGCAAGCGCTACCATAATCATTGCACCCGTCTACAGTTACAAGCGGGGAGAAGTGAGCAGAATGATATGCCAAGAGTAAGGGTGTTCGATGACAATGCGTAGGCGGTACTTCCAAGGGTAAATACACTCCACCGAATGGGATCGGCGCTAAAGCTACTCCGTCCGCATCCTTCAGCATAGTTTCCGCTATAACTATTATAGGCCTTTTTAAGACATGGGCCAAGGTTAAGACGTGTATCTGAAATGAAAGCAGACTCTGTAGTCTCGAGAATAAAAATTGATAGAGTTCGGGAGAAAAGAGATGTTGCGGTACTTCTTCAAGGCTCTGGTAAGAGGTAGCAGTCTGATTTCTGATTGTCGGAGAGGCCATGTCCACTATACTTTGCCATTCCGATAACCATTCCGCTTCCGTATACGATAACCCTGCTGCAGCATTTAAACCCGTTTGTCTCCATTTCCATCGTCTGAAAGTTATGATAGCGTTATGATACCCAATACAACTTCTATTTCAATTAATCCCTCTCTGTTTAAGATTAAAATTCTCTCATTTTATACCTAAAAAGCGCGTGTCTGTATTCTCCTTTGGTCAAAGTATTATGCAGTGCCTCTCTCAGGGTAAGTAATCTGTCATGAAAGCCCCACATCCCCAACGACGCAGCGTGAAGCAGACAATTGCCATCTCCAGACGTTGCAAGTGGCCAAAGAACTCTGGTGCTTCCACTCTTGTACCACCAGTTCAAACGACCTGCAGCTTCCAAGGAATTCAGGCATCCGTTCTCTATGAGATCCTTCTCCAAGAATTTACGAAACGAATCTAGACACAAAATGTCAGTCAAATATTAGCAAAAATACTTGGGATAGGATATTTATGGATGTTCAAGCGAAGAAAGGCACCTGGATATACAGACAAGTCTGGCAGTGAAAACGTGAATTCCGGGGTGTCGGGAGTTCCTAGGGCTGCTAATTGTGAACGAGCGTAGGAGACGATTGCTGCATTTTCTGTTGCACGGGAAATACCCCTGGCCAATTTTTTCGTAGCACCTGTGGTGCTCTCCAGGCCCTCCAGGCCACTATCGGGTGGACCCTCGCTTTCCAATCCATCGTACATGGATACACCGACGCTCATAACACAGCTGTGTCCTGTCAATGAGCAGCAAAAAATTATCTACAATACACTCGAAATGAGTCATCAGTCTTAGTCACAACTCGTCAGCTTTGGAGGCTCGATTTTGCACAGATGATTAGATAATTATTTCAAGTGGCGATGTTATCACAGATAGATTGTAAAATTATCTTTATTAAAATTATTAGACTAATTGAATATAATTAGACAATCATGTAACCTATAAAATTTCAGATTAATCCAAAAATTTTATCAGAACGCATTAAACAAATTTGGAGCACGCTTCTCAATAACGTACCAAATTATTTAATTTTTCTGTTAAAAAAAAAGACAAATAAGAAGAATGGGAACATTCAACCGGAGCAATTTTCGATATCAAACTTTGTCAAATGCATTATTCAGGCAATCTGAATTAAAATCTTTACGGAAATCGATCAAACCGTCCTACAGCGTCTACCTCTCGGATCGGGAAGAGCAGGAAGAGAGAGAGAGCGACAGTTCTCGCTATGGCTATTAAACAAACGATGGCTGTAAACAAACGATGCGGCGCGGCGGCAATGACAAAACGCACAAGGTCACTACAGAGATTCATAACCGGCCTTACCGGCCGCGATTACGCGCGAATGTCAGCCGAGTAACCGCGCGCCGCTATATGTAGTATGTATGTACATCGTACATATATACTGCGTACATATGTATACCTACGTATATAGGCAGCCTACAGAAATAGGACAAGGTTTCGCGGCGGCCACCACTTTCAACGACGGGAAAAAAGAAGGAAAAAAAAACTCAACGCGTTTAGAGGAAAAAAAAGAAAAAAAGAAAGAAGCAACGCGGCGTGAAATCGATCGCGACGAACAGCGCGAGCGAAGGCACACCTTTCCGAAAAATGCGACTTTCGCTCTCGTTCAATCGTCATCTGCGCGTAAACATCTGCGTGGGAGTCTCCTGTCGTCCCAATACGGGTGTACGGGATGTCCGAAACGAGAGGAGGAAGGGAGGAAGAGAGGGGGAGAGACAGAAGCGAGGAAGAGCGATCGCGAAAGCGAGAGAGATATGCGAACCTTGGGCCGTTTAATGCTGTTATCGAATTAACTCAATTAACTCGCGAACGCGACGCAGTAGCGCGGCTGCCGATATTGCCGATTGTCCGGCCGATGTCCCAGTCGATGTCCCGACGTGTGTCCTTCTCATATTTCGCCGAGGCGATGGGGGTCGGGCTGGGCGCTGGGCGCGAGGGGACGGGTACAGAGAATCCGATCGCGAGAGGATCACGGCGCGTATAAACACGGCGACATAACCTTACGGGCCCGCTTGACGGATCTCTCGCAGGCACTCGCAGGTGCGACAGTGCGACGGGGGTGTGGGAGGGCCGCGGAGAACCGACCACGGTCGTATACACAGGTCTGGCAACTCGGGCCGAATTTTAGTGGTGGGGGTAGCACACTTATTGAAGCAGGTTTTTTAATTTATGATATCTCCACCACGTGTCGCTACTATCTAGTATACAGCCGCCATCACGGTCGTACCACAGTCCACGACCGTAGCCGCCGTTATATTATTAATTATTATATGTTCAGTGGTTCAATGCACGGTCGTGTGTTGTGTCACGTGTATAGCCGCTGAGTTAATAATTTTGAAAAATATAATCTGTGTGCCTACGTCGTTTATTCACTTGCTCACCACCTTCGCTAGCATTATCTCCTTGCTACGCTGAATTGGGCCCGGAACGCCGTCTAATAATCGTCATAATAACCGTCATAATAACGACGTAACCTATAACGACGCTATTGCTGCTGTGGCTGGCCGTCTCCCTCGGCATTTGCATCATCATCGACCTTTCCTTCGCCTTGCTCGTAACCTGTGCTCGTAACCCTCCTGACGTCCGCGTGATCTACGATTCTGCGGTCGATCATTGCCGCGTCTCGGATACACCCAGTGGATACCGCGATATCTGCGACGTTTGTTCGCGGCATAGGGTGAACTTTTTATCTTTAGTTACAATTAGTAGTGCGAGTAAAATAGTGCGAGTTACAATTGTCAAAGTTCATTAATAACTTTTAACCTTAGATTAAGTCACTTTTTGAGCGATCAAGATTCTTTTTTAATCTCATCCGTCACGTAGAAGCATGCTTCGCAAAATATACATATCATGTGGATGTTTTTGAGTTAACGTTCGATGAAGTTATTACAACTTATGATTTTACGTTTCCGTGCAAAGAGCACGCTTCTGACATACTATCCTTTGCATTAGTCTATTACATTCGGTTAAGGATGAGGCAACACGCTCATCAACAAAACTTAAAATTAAGTAAAAAATTTGTTGTGAAAAAAAAGCTGTCAAAATTGACGAATGAATAAACTGCTCTTTATATAATAATGTTATATTGTATTTTTTTCTTTACCATGTAAACCTGAAATGTGTTTTTTTTTTTCAAATCTGATACAATTTAAACATTATTCATGAGTGAATAATGTTAAAATTGTATCAATGATTCATCCGGAATCGGACACTAATATCATCAAAATGTCGCATGCCGTAGCTAAAAACACTCAACTAAACGTTATTTAAAATCACGGTATAATAAGACTCGGTCATATTTATCATGCTCGCCTGCATGTACAACGAATTTATTTCCTGCCAGTCAGCTTCGCGTTCTTTATTTGTCTCGTTATAACCGTACTTAAATTTGGCGCGTTTTGTAATTCATTGTCTGGCCGCCGCTGTCGTTGCGATCTAGTAGCCCGACTAGCTTCAATAAGTGAGTCACCCCCCACCACCGGAGTTGCCAGACCTGTGTATACGACCGTGGAACCGACTGCGCGGCTCGCACGGTACTGTCGGTACTTAATTGCGCGCACACGGTGAAACTTCAAACGGATCACATGTCTCGACCTCGACGTCGCGTGACAGTTATGGCTCCTGCACACAGGACGCGGCAGCGCGGCATTGCGGCAACGCGGCACCGCGGTAACCAATCAGCATCTGCCTTTCCGTACTACTTTCAAAAGTAGAACGGAAAAGCAAGACGGTAATTGGTTACCGCGGTGCCGCGTTGCCGCAATGCCGCGCTGCCGCGTC